GTGATCTTCGATCCGCCGAGGAACAACATGGAAGCGTCCGTCTCGAGTGCCCAATTTCCACCGAGCAAGGCCTCAGCTCCCTCCAGTGCTGTTTCAAACATTCCTGCTACTCAGTGTGATGGGTCAGCCCAACCACGTGCCCAAGGCGAACTGCCAACGGGAACGCTCAGAGAAGTCTATCATCATATTCACCATCACCATCATTACCACAATGACGGTCTTCCTAATTCAGGCCAAGTCGCGCCGGACGGGCAAAGCATCGAAATGCAAGAGGTGTGCGGCTCTGCGCCCTCTCGCTCAAAGTGCGCAAAGCACTTTCGGCGTTTCTTATTTCGCACTTTCCTTTGGACCATTGTGATTCTCATCATTCTAGGCATCACTAGCATTCGTCCTATCCAAAAGTTCTTCCTGAGACCCATCGGCGCTCTCCTTCGCACCTGCCCCGGATGGCTAGGGGATGTCTTGTCCTGGCCATTCGTCGCGATGATTCGCATCGCTTACTGGAACCCCCTTTTTGTCATCGTCTGTGGTGCTCTGATCATCTCAGTGTTGCTTGAAAGGCGCGTCAAATCGCGTCGTCGTCGAGCTGCTCGTCGACGGGCACTTGCTGCAGACCTGCTTGAGGGTGATTACGTTCGGCCCACCGCCGAGGATGGGAAGCCCAATCCACCACCTGCTCACGGACGCTCGCCGCTCTCCATCTACCGTCAGAACGTTGTTATGGCCCATGATTACGCAAAGACTGCTGCGGCACAGGCTCTGCCAGCTGCACGGTGGGTGTCAGAAACTGCGTTGGTCGCTGGTGGGACCATCATAGTCTGCTCGCAGCGGACAGGAAAGGCGCTAGGCTCAGCATACCGTGCCGGGAGACTGGAAGCATCTCGTCGTCGTGCGCTCGCAAATTCAGTCGATGAGCACCAGCCACTACTCAATGGACCGGCTTCGGTCGAAGAGACGAGGGCCGATGATGTGCAGGCTCCCAGCCAGATGAACCCTCACACCCTCAACCCTCGACGTGTATGGTCCGCTGCTCGTTTTGGAGGCTACAAGACCTACAGTGCTTTACGTCTGACCGGCAATACTCTGCAAGCAGGATTCATTGCTGCTCGAAATTCTTGGCGCGAAGATGGCGAGTTGCAGTTGCAACGTGATGAAGTTCAAGATGATCACGCTTCCTACCGTGTCAATGTAGGCGACGACACGAATGGCCGACGTGAGATGAGCGAAAGAGACTCGATCAGAAGCATCAGTCCAAGTAGTATGGGTGACGACCAAGTGGACGTATCGGAAAGCCAAGACCAAGCAAATAAAGATGCCGAAACACGCTACTCGACCGACACCTCGCCATCCGACGCTGCACCTCTGCTCTTCCTCTCGCCCTCCTCCTCATCGGCTGGGAGCATCCAGCAGGCCTCTTTCGCAGTCACCGTCGCTCGCGATCCAAGCAACGCCTCTCCGACCAGAATTGCCGCAAATCGCAATGTGTTTGAAAGCACTGCTGCCGCTCGACAAGCGAAACATTCTTTGGACAAGATCGCTCCACGTCGCAATAGCTCTTGATTCTCCGTCCCACCCCTTGTGCGTCCACTCACGAGCTCTGCCTTCTCTTGTTCGTCGCAGCCCCTAGATGCGTCAGGCACGCTTCTCACACTCCTTCTTCACACTTGCCCAGCCCTTCTGATATCAGCACTTACATTGTACAGTGGCCAGTGCATTGTGTCTTGCGCGGAACGATCTTTGCCCCACACACCGAATTTTCACTCGAACGAGATGGTCTAGTAGCACGCTTTTCATTAGATCAGATCACAGCGCGGCTGGAATGTCGAGTCGAGTGAAAACGGGGGTGGGCGCACAATGTGAACAATGTCCTCGCAATGTCAAAATGAAGAAATGGGAGAGAGCTGGTCCGAATGTTTGAGACGCGCGTATATGTGTATTGTGCATGACTTGTTCAAGACCGGGAGGCTTGAAAAGGGCATGCGGAGGCAGAGCGAGTGAGATTGATACATTAGGATGGTGGCGATGTTGGCGGAACGAGAAAGTCACGGAGTGTCCGTGGAAAGGGGTTGGCAAGCGTGCACATGGGCTTTCACGCGCTGCCCGCGCGAGGACGGGATCATTGATCGATGTGCATGGGACTGCCAGGCACCAAAGCCGCCTTTCCTGCACTGTCCATTGCGTGGTGCGGGTGGTTGGATTCGAACATTTGAGCGTGAATGCTTGGCTGTTCGCCAAGAGGACCCTTATTCCTCCTGCCTAGCAGGGTCGCATTGCCGATATTGAGTTCAAAATTCTTCCTTCGATTAGATCCTCGATCTCTGGTACCAGCGCGGCCATCATACAAGACCGCTTCCGCCAATTTGCGATCCGCACCTCCCCGACCTTGGTAGTGCTGCGCTGCTTGCTGCTGCGATTGTTGTTGCTGCTTGTTTTGGCTATTTTGCTCCGCTTGTTGTCGAGCGCGCTGTTCCTGCTCTTGCTGGCGACGTCTCTGCTCAACCGCTTGCGCTGCAGCATCGCCATGGTGTGATCGCACCTGCTCCGCATCGTCGTCTTCGTCCTCTTCGTTGAGACCGTTGAGGGGCGCCTGACCTGCGCCTCCCCGTTTCCTCGCACCCTCCTCTTCCATGCGGTGCACGGCATACGTGACGTCGAAGGCCTCCTTGAGCTGGTTGATGCCTGGCGACATCATGGCCGCTCGGCGCTGCTTCATACTGGTGAGCAGGGGCGAGTCCAGAGGCATTTCGCTTTCCTTCGCTAGTTGAATGTCGGCACTATTGAGGGCTGGCAGATTCTCTCGCACGTTGCACCAGGGGTGTGCCAAGAATTCGTCAATGGTGTAGCGCTTGCTGGAGTCAACGCAGAGCAGATGTGTGATCAGATCCTTGGACGAATCGCTGATGTCGTCCCACCAGGGGGAGAGAAATGTGTAGTAGCCCTTTGCCACCTTCTCCGTCAAGACGCTGATCGACTCGTCGTAGAAAGGTGGAAAGCCGCAAAGCAAGGTGTACAGCACACAGCCAAGTGCCCACATGTCGACGCTCTTGCTGTAGCGCTCGTCCTTGACAATTTCTGGGGCGGTGTAGCCAACGGTGCCGCAAGGCGTCATGGTGCTCTCCTCCCACACCACCTTGCTCAATCCAAAGTCGGCAATCTTTACCCGACCGATACCACCGCCGCCGATGCCAGGCATGAATTCGCCCTCGTCTTCCTTTTCCTCGTCATAAGGTCTGGCCTTGTTCTGTTTGGAAGGAATAATGTTGATCGATTCGAAGAGCAGGTTCTCCGGCTTGATATCTCTGTGGGAGGGGATCCGCTAATCAGGAAAGTCCCGGGGCGTCCTTCTCCCACGCGGCGTGACACTCACCTGTGCACCACTCCGCGCTCTTCGTGCAAATACCTAATGCCGTGTGCCACTTGCAGAATGACGTGCCTTGCCAATGACTCGCTGAAGTACGTCAATTTGACAATCTGGTGGAAGAGCTCGCCTCCTTCCAAAAGCTCCAGCACCAAGAAGTAGTGATCCCTGCTTTCACTGAACTCTAATAGCTGCACGATGCCAGGATGCTTGAGATTGCGCATGATCTGTACCTCTTTAAGAATGTTGGCTCTCTAAAGGAGGGCACAGTGAGTATAGGCGGAACAGCCGACCAGAATGCCGCAAAAGGGGTGGCGCGGAATTTGTACGGAAGCATCGACCGCACGCAACACCGTAGCACCGTGGCGAATTCCGTCGGAAAGTAAGCAAGTGGAGACAGGAGGGGAAAGAGTCAGAATCGCGTCGGCTTGCTAAGGTACGATGACACCGATATCTCTGAAGCAGAGCAGCGCCAAGCCCTTCGTGGTGGAGACTCGTACAGATCATCCAACGACGACCCGAACGTTATCTCGCGAGCGAATAGCCTGTGACTCGTGGCCGACAGCATTCCCTTACAAGCTCGACCACCCGACCAAGGAGACGGAAAGCCCTGGCTACGAACCTCTGTGACGCGATTCTTTTTGCGGAATTGTGGATCGAGACGATCCTGGAGGACAGAAGCGAGAATCCCAATCGAAACGCGGCACAGGAAGATTGCCAAAGCAAGGGAGACGAGAAAGAGGTTGGCGAGGCGCAGAGAAATGAATGAGAAATGGGTGGAAATTCGGTCAGCCGCTGGACAGCCGGTATCTGCTGACCTGCGAGCGTGAAGCTGGACGGGCACAAGGGAGCTGGAGCTCATGGGAGCTGGTAGCTGCAAAACGCAAACGACTCGAAGTGTTCGATGCGTCCGCCAGAAAAGAGAACGACTTGGAGTGAAGGAGTTGCTGAGGCACATCTCACGAGAGTTCGGAGTCATCGGGAAGATTCGTGTCCATGCCCGTCCGCTGCACTGCCCTGCTCCTATCAACAAGGCCTGCGACCAAACACTTACCTGGTTAGAATTGAGCTCGTACTTTCGAACGACCTTGATGGCCACTTTTTGGCCCGTCTTTTGATCCCTGGCCATGTATACGTTGGAAAAGGCACCACTGCAACAGTGGAAGGGTCACGATCAGCAGATGTCCACGCGTAGTCATCATGCCACTACTCACTCTCCCATCTTCTTGATCAAAGTGAATCGATCAGACAAGCCCTCGTACGACGGGAGTTTCTCTGAAGCAGCCCTCTCTTCTTGCACAATCTTTTCTGATTTAGGATTGTACTGCGCCACATTATCCTCTTGATACGAGTGTGCGCGCTGACTGTGGCTGCGAACGCCGCCCCCGACTCGAGCTCGAGCTTCGTCCAAATGCGCTTGAGCGCCACCATTTTGCGATTGCTGCGATGACTTTTGGCCGCCTTGCTGGGCGGTGGCGGTGATAGGCGCAGCCATGGTGCCTTTGGCAGTGGCCGGCGTTGGCGAGACAGTGGACTGTCCAGCCATCGGCTCCAACGTATCCAGCGTTTGATAGTGAGAGTCAGGGACTTGACGCATCTGCCAAGCGTGACAGGCCGGGGGGGCAGGTTCAAACGTCAGCAGAATGACGCGGATGTATGCGGGTGCGACCAGAAGATCGTGGGGAGAGGAATTCCAGGATGGCTATGTGCGGAGTGGATCACTGCGTCGAGACTCAATGATCGATTCACGATGGAATCGATGTTCGCATCCAGGGCTGGCGTCCGCACAGGCCATGGGATAGGCATGCGCGTGCGCCAGCGCCATTCGTGTTCATCGTCTACCGTACTGTACGCCACTTCCAGATTCGAGGCACTCACCTTTGATCCGTTACTTTGATTGGTAGAGCCTTGGGGCGGTGAGGCAGTAGTAGCTTCTTCTTTGGCTGCTTTGCCGTGTCGAATAAGGTTCTTGAACTGGCCAAACACCATTTGGACGCTCGGCGACGGGAGCCGATACAGTTCGATTACTCAACTTCACGACGATCTTTGCGGCAATTATGCAGCGGCTTCAATTAGGCGATGTATCTGCAATCGCGGATCCTTCTCACGATCTTGCTAATAGCAGCTGCAAAGATATGCTCAATATAGTTGTGGTATTCTTAAGCCTTGTTTGTGTATTTGCCTGGGTCTTGAAGCTATAAGTCGAGAATGGGCGCAAGGCTGAATAGCTCTGCAAAGTGCAGACGGTGAGTCTCCGATGCGAGTGGGCTGACTCAAGCAAGGCGTTGGGGCGTATCGAGCTTGATGAATGGAGCGAGCGCCTTTCGACTCTTGACTGCTATGTGAAGAAATACACTCGTGGCTTCTGATTCTTGATTCTGGACTTCTATATCGATGCGCCGACTGATGCTGTGAGAGGTAGTCACGAGTGTGAAGTGTGAGTGAGAGTTGTATCACGTCGCAAGCTCGAGACGAGACATTTGGTGTTTTCTTGCAGTCGCTCTGCTAGCTGTTGCGCTGACGACCAAGACCGCAAAGGGGTCTGTCTCGACGTCATGCCGGACTACGCAGCGAAAACATCTCTCGATCAAAACGATACAAGCAGCGCGCAGAAGCGGCAAGCTGCCGTCGTGGAGGTTTTCCCCCTCAATCGGTCAGTGTCGCGCTCTCCACAGCCCCGTCCGGCCGAAAGGCACTACTAGGCACTCAATGACGGAGAGCTGTCGCTCGATCTTTACGTGTCTCCGACGCAGGGCAACAGCACTCTGGCGCTGCGTCATGACGGCTGCTGGATCTGTTGTTCCGTTGCAGCGAGTGCTGCTGGTGCAGGGCATCCTGCCCTGCTGTGGCTTCCCTACGCATGATGTACGTGCAGGATGCATGCGTGCGGCATGCGCACCATCACAGCATCAGGTGATCTGGCCTTTTAGCAGAAGCGCAGGCTTGGATGCAGAGATGACGTCGCCCGACTTGCGGAGTGGTGCACGCTGCGTGGCTGCTGATGCGTGCATGCTACCTGTATGCACATCTCGATCACCCATCAGGCTCAAGACTCAAGACTTTGACTGTGACTACTCTGCAGCTGGCCGTTGGGCGCTACAACTCACCACTGAGCTTCTCGGTTCCCCACCTGCCACTCGATCGTGGCTTGACTCAACGGCTTGCTTGTCATCAGTCTGAGTCAAGAGCAGAGTCGTTGAAGGTTCACGATCGAGTAACCACAGTCGTGAGCCGTGAGTCACTTGTGTCTTTTGGCATGTGAACAGACTCAAAGGTCAAAGGGAGAGTCAAAGTCTGAGCAGTCTCCATCACTGTGAATCGTGAATGTGGAGGCAGCACGCGAAGTGCGAGGCGTCACTCAGATCTGCGTGGCGAACCTGATGCCACGATCCAGGTGGTCACAACGGGCATGGTACATCGAAGTCGTGGATAGCACGAGCGATCACGAATCGCATTCGTTTTTACTACACTTTTCGATTCATTTAGCCGCCACCCGATTCGCAGTTGCATAGCAAGCAAGGTCCAATCACAATAATCGTCAAGATGATCAAAAGCTCCGTGTGCATGATGTCTGAGCGTCAGCATGCGGCCTTGCCTGCAAAAACGCAGATCAGCCGTCTCCTCCGCGTTGTGCAAGACGCCCCCAAACTTGGAACGCGAGGATTATTCAAACCTTGCTTGAATTGCACTCGCCTCCTCGAGCATCGCCTTCGGCGGAAGAGAGCATGATGAGCTCGCTCGTGACTGGCCATGAATCGAGGTCCGAGCGGTGCAAGGTCGCTTGAAGCTTGATCATGAGCAGGTAGGTGTGCTGCAGCGCAAAGGTTTGAACTGCTCGATCACGCTTCTGCCACGAGAGCTGCCATGGATTGACTCGCAGCGCATGACGCAGCTGTCGCTTTGACCCTGAACTTGATCTGGCCGGCCGGAATTCCAAGGATGACCCACTCATACTTGTTCACTCCGATTCACGATTGGCATGCAGCACCGAAGGCCAAGTCGTGATGAGCGTTGGCTGCATGGTCAAACCATGTAAAGCGGAGGAGTGTGGCTTCAGACGCTGTCATCAGGCATCCGCGCGTCACCGCATGCGAGTCAAGTCTTGATCAGAGAGATCTTTATATGTGCGCAGCTTCTTTTAGGTGAAGCAACGTGTGACTAAAGACAGTCATGCATTCAAGAGTGCTTTGCGTGATGATAGTGACATGTACGTGCAGCTGCGGCGAGCAAAAACTCATGCAGCCAGCTGGATCACAATCGAGAACGTGAATTGGACCACGAATCACTTGAATGGAGAAGCAGAACCCTTGAGGAGCTCGTTCTAACCAAAATCGTACTGCTACTACCAGTAGTAGACCATAGCTTTGGTGGAGACATGCTCGGGTCATACGGCGACGACTCTGTCACAGAAGGGCAGTGACGAAAGACCCGTGGGTCGTCTAGGTCGTTTGTGGGAGGAAATGACGATGTGTGCGCAATCAAGGGTCCTGTTGCAATGACGACACGTTCTTCCTTCATGTTCTGACATCAAGAGCATCGTGAGAGCACCCCACGAGATGCAAGCGACACACAGAAAACTGAGATTGATAATACGTCGATGCTTTTGGCAAGATAAGTTACCCCAGTCGACCCATGAGGCGCCATCAAAGCAGTACATCTATTCGCGAGCGACCTGAACGCCCGCTTCTCTCTCAGCTTTTCGTTCCCAATCAAGAGCATCGCGCAGCTCCTTCTCCAGCATATCCTGTACAGCTTGCGTCGCAGGCTGCAGCGGTCTTCTAGCTTCCCCAACGTCGTCATAGTACCTACGCAGCACCCACTTTGTACCTCCTATTCCGCCCTTCATGAAAGCCCAATCTGCCCGTGATACGAGCGCTTGAAGCTCTTGGGCTTTTGACAGGGTCTGTTTGGAAGGAGACTGCACAGCTTCCTGAGCGCTCTTGTACGTCTGCACTAGAAGACGTGGGAAAATGTTGCCCGAACCGGCAATCGTACCGGTCATACCCACAAGCATCGAGGCTAGCCGTGCGATATTTCGCAACGTCAGCTCTATTGCTTCTCGCGCGAACGAGGCTGATCGAGCGTCTCATCAGCGTCACTTACGCAGCAGCATATCTCCGAGACCTGGGAAGACGTGGAAATTCTTGTGCGACTTTGCTGCTGCGCTTGATGCCAGCCTTGCGCCTTTGCCGATTGATCCACAGGTTAGCTATAGCGTGGGCAGGAAGCGACCCAGGTTGAACCAGATAAGCCGCGCAGCAATGAGACGAGGGAGGCTCAAAAACGGTACTTGCCTTAGCTCCGACAATGTTTGGATGCTCGGCGATGGCTTCCAGCAAGTCGGAGTCCAGATCAATTCCCGCGGTCTGTGCAAATCAAAACGAGACTCGACAGCGCGTAAGACGCCAAGGTCGCATGGCATTGAGCACCTTCCATCACGACTCACCACAGCTGGGAAGTTGTAGACCATGACAGGGATCGGCGACGCGCTCGCAATGTCGCTGCAACGAGATACAACCCGTCATGGTCATTGAGAAATGCGGCGAGCCGAATAGCCACGTCATCGAGCGAATTGCTTGCTCACTGAAAATATTCTTTGAGAGCTGTGCGGTCCTTTGCAATCGCTCCAGCAAAGAAACCGGGTGTCAAGACGATGGCTGACGACACGAGCGAGTTGCAGAGGTGACGCTTGCCAAGTCAACAGCCAGTTTGAAACGTTTGACCGCATTAGGACGCTCACCAGCATCTGCTCCAGCTGCGGCAGCATCTTTGCACAATTGCTTCGTCTCGTAAAGACTTCCGGTGCCAGTGCCTGCGATGATCGGCGTCTGCAATCCAGCATCTTTTGTGAATTCGCGCGCAGCGCTTACAAGTTTGATCCTCTCTGATGCGGTGACGTGCGAAGCTGCGAGAGGGCGGCTCAAGTGAAGCGCAGTAAGCAATTCAGCATTTGCCTCTTCCTCGACTTTGGACAGTAGCTCAGATGAAGCTTGCGGAGCTCACCTTCGCCTCCGGTTCCCAGCACGACGAGACCGCAACCAGCCGAGGCAACTCGCAGAGCAACCTTCTTGAAGGCCTCGAGATCAAGGTCCTCTTCGGGGCTTGGTGTAAAAGGGGTCACGAGAGGTACATAGACCCCACCAGGCAGCGGTTGACTTTGGTAAGTCATGCCGAATGTGAGATGCCTTGGAAGGAATGCTGAAGCAATGCTATATGGCTCTGCGATCGATGCGGCGCAAGAGAGACCAGAGACGAGGGTGGGTTGCAATTTCCGCAAGTGCATGGCGGCGTCCCAAGGCGCGCGCGCGTGCACTTGAAGCGCGCATGGGCCATGCGACTGGAGCGCAATTCACAACCTTGTATACATGGCGTTGTCCACGCCCTTCACGTACCTGACAGCATCCATCCGGCCACGGACTCTGATCTGATTCCTGCCCGCTCGGCATTTGATTCTTGATCCTTGGCTTCTTGCTCCTAGCATTCTCCTCGCATCCAGCAGCGCCTCTACTTGCTGCTGCGAACTCGAACAGCACCAATTTCCTTCACGATGCAGGTGTCAAGCTTATCGTTGCTCGCGACTACGCTTCTCAGCGCAAGCCTGCTTTGCAGCATCGCAGCAGCTTCAGAGACGGCTGCGCGGGCAACCTACTCTCTGCACTCGAGGTATGTGGGGGGCGGACAGAGCACAGGGGGATGGAAATATCAAGGCTCGATCAGTTTGGGAGCTCAAGCTGGGCTTTCGAGCGTCTCGGATGTCTCTCCATCACGGGACAATATCAAATTCGTCACTGCGAGTGATCGGAATGAGGAGCTTCAGCCGGCAACTGATTCTGGTGTGCTAGATCTGGAGAGCACTAGCTCTGCTGAGGGCTGGCTGCAGCTCTTGCTCTTGGACGGAGACACAAAGTCAGTCAAGCAGGCGGAACTGGCGCGTGGCATTTTAGCTAGCACCAAAGCGGTGAGTGTTTTGCATAGCTCTTCGGTCGTTGACGATCCTGAGGTGGCTAAAGCAATCGGTGCCGGCAAATCTTCACAGTGCCTCCTCCCTTCCCCGCTCGTTGTCACCCTCCACCTACCACCGGCGCCTGGCGCAAAGACAAAGACCGGACATGATCCAGCTCCTTTAAGCGCGTCCTTGCGACCGCAAAGTCTCTCACTCCACTTTGAAGGCATTTCTACAGCGCCCTTGAACGAGTCTGGATGCCCAGCTGAGCGAGGCCGCAGCGCTGCTGAAGTCGCCAAGCCTCAGGCTCCAGTGCGAGTAGCAGTCTATCGTGCAGCAGGCGCAGGAGCGTGAGTTTATCGGAAGAGTTGGCCTTAACATCATCGACACTGACGTCTCTGCTGACCTTTCCTCGCAGGCCTCCTCCTCGTCAAGCGCCGCGTCTCACAGCCGACGGAAGCCCGCTCGGTGAAGGGGAAGACGCTCCACCGGTGAAGGAGAAATCCTTCGTTCAGAAGTATTGGTACTATTTGCTACCCGTCGTCATCCTACTCGCAATTCCCTCAGAGGTGCGTGGGATCCCGCTGGCAGGTCGAGACATGAACGCACGGCTGACGCTCCAAGACTGCGCACACTCTAAATAGCTTGCAGATAGCGGCGATGATGGAGAGGCGGAGGTGGATGACGCTCCGCGCTTGGGAGGAGGAGGATCGGGAAGCGGAGGCGCAGGCAAGAAGGGCGCACCTGGTGCAGCGGGTGCTGGTATGCGTCGTATCAGGTGAAGGCTGGCGAATAACACGCGAAGAAGAGGAGCAGAAGCCCAGTCTCCGGGGCTACGACGCACATGGTCTGCAATGTCAGACCTGCATCACCAGATGCAGATGCGATTTGACAAGACCCGCGTAATGCGAAAAGCTGCGTCAACTCTGGCAAGCATGACGGAGTGCGAAGAGAGTGGACAGGGCTGGCGAAGATGGTCTGGTCTGTCGCACCATTGATGACAGCCTCGTTGCACGCCTGGAGTCAATCATGAAACTCGTATGATTACAAATGGTCCGTGACTAGCTGTATTGGAAAGTAAGAAGCCGGTATTTTGGACGCGAAGATGAGAGGCGTCTTTAACCCGAATGATCTAGTCCTCCTCTCCTCGCCTGTATGCTACCACGCTGTCGACTTGGTGAATGGCCGTGCTGAAACTTCGCAACCTGACTTGCTCGGCCTGACCCTCTGCGATCAGCCGCGCATCGCTTTCCGCCCATTCGATTGGAATAGGCTCCGATGCGTTGGTGTAAGCCAAGAGAGTGAAGGAGCCTGAAGAGAAGATTGAGCGACGAGCAGTGAGCAGATGCAGTGCCATCGCCTCCTCGCTTCGGTGCTGCCTCGCTTCTTGACGGATTTGGTACTCACACTGATCCTCCAACATGGGCAAAAATGTGCAAGATGCTGTGATTTGCTTGATGATCGCCGCGATCTCTGCCTTGACCTGATCATCGGTCTTTGGGCCTTTTGCACCCTTTGCGCCTGCTTTGCCTGATGAAGCCTGCACGGGACTTCAGAGAGTAGTGCTGGGCACGTGAGCGCTGTGCGACGACCTCTCGCGAAAGCTAGACTTCTCGTCTGATAGCCGCCCCACCACCCACTCACGCTTCGTTCTCCTTGCCGTTCGCTTCGTGACTCTTGTTCATCACGTTGACATCGAATTGCCATCTCTCCACCGTCTCGCCGTTCTCTGTATCGATGATAGCGACGACAACTCTGGAGATAGCTCCCTTCAACAACCACTCTTCTAATTGTTTCTTTGCCCTCTCCACATATTCCGTCATGGCATCATCCAAGCTCACCAACATCTGAAGCCCATACTTTCTGACCGTCTTGAAATCTTCCGGAGGATAGACTCCTCGCTGATAGAGAATGGACTGAAGAGAATACTCGAAAAATTCCGAGACTATGGCGGTGGATCCACTGAGAGTAAGGTGCGTGCGCGTGGGCGCTGCGGTCGCTTGAGCTGTCGCCATGGTCACCGAGCGAGTATGCCCGGAATGGGGCAGGTCACTTGACTAGCTTAGCCCTTGAGTTGTGACTGAAACGTGCGAACAGTTGGGGCGACTCGGATAGGCAATAGCGCGCTCACGCTTGCCGTGAAGCTTTCAACCAGTTGATTGTGGTGGTTTGAGAGTGGCGATCGAAAGTTTGAGGAGGATGCATGTGTTGCTCTCTGTTCACGATTGGCGGCCGCTTCGACGCTCAGATTTGAACGCGTCGCGCGCAGCCGCTAGCTGATGCGCGCGCGCTGCATCAGCAACATCTCGCTCTCACGTCTGCAGGTACCTGCTGCGCGTGAGCAGACGGTTCACGACTTCGCGGTGATGCAGCTAATGGATGACTCTTGACTGTCCATGCCCACCATCTCACCCTGCCACGGCACGCACTCACCGCTGCAAGAAATCATTCACAGCAGCGGCAGCATGC